GGAGGGGGAGTTTCACTTCTTTAAACATTGTGCGCGCAGTAGCACCAGGGGCGTACTACTACATAGTAAATATCAAGTGATATTGAGGACTGGAGGTCGAAATAAAATTACGATCGAACATCACAGGTGAGTTTTAGCTTTAGCTTTAGGTTAAAACATTTACATAATTCAAACTATATTAAGTTTATCGCAGTACCTGTTTGAGTAGATAACTGCAAAACAGGTTTCTTAGAATTCTGCACCATTTGTTGTTGAATATCTTCAACAACATTTTCTGTTAATTTGCCCCTGCAAATGCAATGTTTTTCCTCATATCTTTTAGTAAGTATTAATTTGTGATTTTTACACACCAAGGCTTCAACAAATTGTTCCATACGGATTGCAAAGAGTAAGACCCAGTTCCATCTGCGCTCCCTGTACCGTGTAAACGGTAGAGGGAGCAGAAATAAGAATATAAAAAATGAACATAATCTTAAAATATTCGGTTAACTTACGGAAAAAACGTTGAATTTTTGGAGTTCTGAAAAGAACAATTGTTTTTTAAAATTTAACAGATAAAGATTAATTTGTAGAAAAACACATAAATATTGGTATAAACCCTGCTAAATTGTACAAACAATAACACGAAAAATTACGAACACCTCTAGATTGACGTTTGATCTAGTGTCCTAAGTTGGTAATTTTTCCTTGGTAATTTCTGAAATACCAACTTAAGAAAATTTAAAATTTACTGATCCTCAAAACAAATCTGGTCACGTGGGACTCGGATATTTCTGAAGGCATTGTAGTATATTATGTATTCTTCCTGCTATGTGAAAAAGATAAACCGTATGCAAGAAGTTTTCTAGGTTCATATAATAACTTGAGGATATTGCCATTTGAATAATTTTAGACTTAATTTTTAATGTGAGGAGTAACACTTCTTGAGTTGATCGTCGGGAATTTCGACGGGTATTTGGCGCAATGGCAGTTTGGTATGAAACACTGCAATCCTACATATACAGGGTGATTCAGTTCGGGTAAATCAAACTTTAACCACAAATAGAATTCAAGAAATAATTCAGAATTGCCTTATAAAGCAAGGGTCTAAGTCCTTTCTAACAGTAGGTATATCTCCTCGGTTTGCTTTCGACAGACCCTACACCGTAACTTCTCATTAGAAGACAGGAGGAGACCGCCCGCGCAGATGTAATCAACGTCTTCACAGACGGATCAAAAAGGAAGGAAGGTGCAGGATATGGAATTTATTCTAGATCCTTGCATATCCGATATCAGTGGGCAATGGATATGCATGCTGCCTTGGGACAAACGGAATTAGCAGGTATAACCATAGCCGCTAAAGAAATCGCCCTTAGGCACACTGCGGGTAAAACTATCAGAATCTATACAGAATATGTCAGAACTTATTGGAATTATTAAGGAAAACACCCACAAAGAGTTTATGAAATGGTGGGATGATACAAATAGCTGTCAATTTGCTAAGGAGTTCTTAGAATACCCCAACAAGGATACAGCCAAAAAATACCTGGCCATGTCAAGAACAAATCTTCGTTATAGTAACAGGTATTCAAACTGTATACTGTTGGCTTCTATGACATATTAGAGAGATCCACCTGAGCAACGTCATCACTTTTTTCTCTGTAATAGGCTGGTTAGCGGCTCAGGTGGATTGATCTCCTAATGGGAGGAAGTACAAGAGGCCCAATGGGGCCTAAGTGCTGTATCTTTTAAACTACCCTCCTTAAATTCCAGATTCCAGATTCCAGAAGGGTCTAAGTCTCACCGTTTTTACAAGCTTGTTTGGGTCAAATCTTGCAACTGAATTTTAAAACAGTTATCGCCAACTGATTGAGCTGAAATTTTGCATACACGTTTAGTTTGGATGACAATGCATGAGGGCATTAAAAGTTTGATTTAAAAAAATATATATAAACTTATAAACTGTACAGGGTCGTATTGATCGGTTTTTAAAATCATATTATTTATGAAATCTTTGTTACGTTTATAACAAATTGATTTAAATTTGGTGTGGTGTTAACATTTATCATATGCATAATTTACTGTAAAAAATTACAATTTTTTGTAGGTCAGTGGCGTAGGAATGGGTAGTAAAGTAGAATATTTTATCCCAACTTTTATGCCAATGACCTAATAATCATGTGGGATTCATTTTTAAATTCCGTGGACAATTCTATATAAATAAGGTATCTTGTTGAAAATCGGTATAGTGTATCGTTTTACCGAAAACTTCATGGGAGACCGTTCTGATAAGAAAGACTTGAATATTGCAGTACCTCGTAATGTTATTTCGAATTGTCATAACGTATGACGTCACGAACTAGAAATGGCGGATTTAAATAAGAAATAATTGGATTATATTAAATACTAATTATTTTACTTGAAATTTATTAAAATATGTTTCTCAAACAATGTTGATCTTATAATACAGATCTTCTGAAAGCTACATAAAGTGTTCAGTGTTGTAAACAGGGCTGATTTTGACGATTTTGGTGTTGTTTGAAACGTCCAGGTTAGAATTTTAAATATTTTTTCCTCGAAACTAGGCTCGACCGCACAAAAATAACTTCAGATTCGTGTTCAGTACTCTCGAAAATAGGGAGGTAGGAAAAATGTTGTGCCGATTTGGGCATTTTGTGCTAAAGTAAATAATTACCATTAAATATTTCACATGAATATACAGAGTGTCCGTTCAAGAATGGATCAAGCTTTACTACGATGAAAATTAATGGAGAAAAGTCATATATAATATTGCTCATAAAAACTTTTTCGAAACACTTGGCATTAAAAAAAATACATTTTCTTTAATATCTTCCGTATCCGGGTTCATTTTTTGGGATAAGAAATTCGAATTTATTGACGATTTCGTTGTACACTATAATAAAAAGTATGGTAAAATTTCTCGAACTTTCCATGGTAACATGGAATGTTACCATGGAAGTAAAATTCACGTATAATCAATCAAATTTTAAAGGTTTTATTTAATAATACACAAATGTTACATGAATTTAACTTGAACATTCCATAGCAACAGGTTACCATGGAAAGTTTGAGGAATTTACCATTCTTTTTATTATAGTGTATCTTTTAGAGTGCGCCACTAGCGACCATTAGGACGCATTTAAACGGCCAAAACGTTTTTGTGCCACCGTGTATTTCACTTTGGGCTGGAGAAATCTTTTCCCCCGACTTTTCTGCTTAAAATAGGTATCTTGCTAATATCTCTAAATCCAACCGTTTTCAACAGAAAGCCATTTGAATTTGAAAATGCATAAAAAAATTCGTTTAAAAATTATTTTCAACACTAATAAATGAAACTAGGAGCAATCGTTTATTAGCAAGAAATATGGCTTTAAAGGAAACAGTGCAATTACAATTTTGACTTTCGTTTATTTAACAATTTTACTGCAAACAGAATTGACAGAGTAAAAACATACTTTCTAAAAACAATCTAATCAATCTAACACAATCTAAACAATGTAACCAATCTATTTGATCTAAAAATCTGAAAAATAACTAATTATTATTGACCTGTCTTAAAAGATATGTTTTTCAATGTCGAGTGGAGTTGAAAATAAGTTTTAAAAATTTAAATGCCTTTTTGTTGAACGGTTGGCTTTAGAGATATTAGTAAGGTATACCTTTTTTAAGCAGAAAAGTTGGGAGAAAAGATCATTCCAGCCCAAAGTGAAATACACCGTGGTACAAAAAGTTTTGACAGTTTAAATGCATCCTAATGGTCACTTGAGGCGCCCTCTAGAACTCTAGAGGATATAACGAAATAGTCAATAAATTCGAATTTCTTATCCAAAAAAAACTGCGGATACAAAATTTCACGAAATTAGCTCGAAGTATTCGAAAGATATTAAAGAAAATGTTATTTATTGTTTCAACTTCAACACCACGTATCTCGAAAACTAAACGTTTATGAGCAACATTGTAGATGACATTTCCTCATAAATTTTGTCGTAGAATCTAGTGTATATAACCCTTGTTCAGACCTCATCAAGATCGACAACCCTTATTTTAATTTTTTATATTGCAAATTTCGTTCGAATTTTTTCATCATGAATGTACTCTAAGTGAGCATAGAAAACAGCCTCTAAAAAATGGTATGGGTTCCATGTCTCAATAACAAGATATGACTATTTTCATTTTTACCAGCCGCAAATGCTTTTTGCTATATCTTTTTTTGTTGGTAGAAATTTTGGTACAATTTTTAAAGTCATTTTCTTTAATGTAAAATGGGAATGCTTATTGTACATCGCTAAAATAATAGTGATTTCTCAGAAAAACAAATTTTAATTTTCTATTAGGTATACTCAGTTGTCAGTTATGGGCAGTAGTGTTTGTTTACTTAAACTTTACTATTTTGTTAAAATGTTATTGTTGTTCTTATTTTTTACGGGTTTGATCTACTAATACTAATTTATATCTAGGTACCAATATGGCAAGAATATCCCAAATGCAAAATAAAATTAAATGGAACTTTTCTGAGAAAGTTAAGTATTTCGGCCATAGGCAACAAGTAAAGTGACATTCCAAAGAACATCGTACCATTCAAAAATGCAAAAAACTGTTTGAGTTATTATTAACGACCTCTAATGTGGTACGTAAAAGATAAGTTATATTGATGTTTGAATTTCACAAAAACTAATTTTTGCTTCATTAAAATTTGTTAAAAAGTAACATAGTTATCATGAAAAATTATCGTAAAAAAACAAAGTGGCTATATGTAATTACATTATTCTGGAATTGAATTTGTTGTTAGGTAATGTATCAATAAAAATAAAAAAAATACATGTATGTTATATTTAATTTCCCATTACTACGTAAATATAAATAGATATTCTAAGACTAAAGCACAAATCTTAAAATAGAGTACTTGCTATTGCATATCTAATTATCTTTAATCTAATACTAAACTGGACACATAGGTGTATTCTAATACAAAATCAAAATTACTTTTTGCTCACAGAAAATTAAAAAGTTATACTTTTATTATCTGGTACATTGATACCGCCAAGAACTTTAATGATAATTGTGTCATTCTTTTTCATCTGATTAATATTTTGTGTTTCATTTCCCTTTTTTTCATCTTCCACCTTTTCTTCTCCTTTTATTCCAGAGCTTTCTTTATTTTCTTTTTCATTCGCTACTACTTTGTTTTCGGTTCTGTTAACATCATTCTCTATATACTTTTCATCATGTCTTTTTTCTTCTTTACTCTTTTTTTCTTCATTTTCTTTTCTCTTTCCGTTTTCTGTTTTACTTTCCGTTTCTATTCCTCCCCTTTCATTTTCCTTCCTTTCGCCCAATTCTTCTTTTTTTCCATCATAATTTTCTTCTTTCTTTTCTTCGCCTCCTACATCATCATGACCACTTTCTTTTTCCCGTTCTTTTTCTTTTTCATCATCACTTTCATCACTTTCTTCTTCCTTTTCTCCGCTCCTTTTTTCATCACTAGTCTTTTCTTTTTTTCGTTCTTCTTCTTTTTCATCATCATCTTCTTTCTTTTCTTCGCTCCCTTCTTCATCTTGACCGTTTTCTTTTTCCCACTCTTCTCCTTTTTCATCATTACTTTCATCACTTTCTTCTTCCTTTTTTTTGTTCCTATCTTCATCATTACCATTTCTTTTTTTCAATTTATCACCATCCTCCTTTTTCCGTTTTTCTTCTTCATCATGCTCATATTTCCTAGATTCCTGTTCTTTAGGTTCAAATACTCCGCACTTTTTATTTGTTTCACTGTTCCTTTCGTGTTTGTTTATTTCTATGTTGGAACTATCTATTTCCTTAGTTGTTTCACAATTCAGCGCCTCTCCTTTTTCTAATTCGGTAAAAGAATCTAACGGATTTAAGTATTTTTCTTCATAGTTCTGTATTAGTTTGGTAGGTGATAATATTGGGTAAGTATGGCCTGAAGTGATCGACATTAATATGCTTGAGGAGGAAAAATATATAAACTGCAATTAAAGACATTATTAATATTGAACCGTAATAACAAAATACAGTGTCTTTTCATGTAATACCTTTTTTGATGCTTGTTAATAATAACTGTATTTTAATCTATATCAGAAGTTATACAAACTCATTATGATCATTGAGTAGGTACTATTGTTTTATGTTATTCTACTTGCCAAAATAAAATGATTTTGTTTTAAAATAAAAGGTAATACAGTTTTTTTCATATAAATATTACAACAGTTAGTCTCGTAGTGTTTCTTTTACGTATTTTGTTACATTACAAATTAAGAAATTTAAAAAATTTTTGAATCCTTACATTATAAGCAGAAGTACTATGGAATATAGCCTTATAATAGGACACCATTAAAAAAATGTTTCTCACAAAATTCGTCTAATAAGATATACCTAGTAATGATTAAATTTTAGATGTCTATTCGGATTTTAAAAACAAATATCTGTTTAATTTAACGCAGATACATATACTAATACTAATAATTTTAACAAATGCTGCTTGTGAATAAATATTAACAATTGTGGTTTTAAAATAGCCAACATATACACGAGTGTCCCCTATTAAGAAATTATTAGAAATATAGTAGTTGATTATATCCTTAGAAATGAATAATACGCTATACTGATTAAGAAACAAATAAATAGTTTTCCAATATTAAACACTATCTTACTCTTTGTTACTGACAGAAAATTTTTGAATCAAAGTTTTACAATTGAAGAACCTGATAAATTAAAAATAATCTGTACCTTAATTTTATTAAACAAAAATAAGTAGATATTGGAAATGAACAAAAAAAAATATTTTTATTATAAGTAAAATGCATCAAAGAATTTCATTAAGAAATGTTGCTCATAATTAAAATTTAATCCCATATTCCCAATTTGAAAGCAACTCTGATTTGTTGTATATTTCAGTATAAGAGATTGGAAAAAAATTATATATTAAGAATGTTAATGTCCATAATGTATTGGCAATCGGTTTTATTTTTACAATTCAGTTGATTATCAAAATTAAGAATGTTAAAGGCCTAATTTAGTATATCAATATTTTATTGTACAGAAACAAATTTAGAAAAACAGAGTTGTCCTTCAGATGTACCTGAAGTTTTAGGAAAATAAAATACCATACTTCATTCCCAACAAATACTACATTTATTTGAAAAATTTTTATATAACTAATAATAAAATGCTGAATATTAACGAAACATCTGGTACCTATAAACATGAGATTATTTGGAAAATCAAAAATCTACGAAACGGTCGTATTATTAAATGAAAGTTCGTAATTGTTTTACAAAATAGAAGAAACTTTACTTTAAATTTTGAAAGAATAATCATGTTATGATACGTTAAAGTATAAACTAATATTGATCACTTGGAAAAATAATTTTAAAGAAACTTACCAAAATTCGATACATCTTTATTTTATTTATTTGCTTCTCTTTGGCTAATATTATGTGTAAACAACGTACACACTGTGAAATTGTGGATATAACTAGAAATAAGTAAGTATATATACACGTTTTATTAACCTTTACAACTGCATTGTGGAACTATATGTAAATTCCAAATTAATATTCTAATAAAGCCCTGATTATTTTCAGAAGATAGATAACTCTGTGAGCGAGAGAATAATGCATTTTAATAATTGACACACTATTCCTATTCCTCAATGGTATATGTTTTCTCAATAATGATCATTTTTTTGATAATGCAAACAATTAAAATGAATTTTTTGTAATGAATGGAAAAACAACATTAAATTTGAATACAATTATAGTATTATAGCAAGTATTTTTCTTGCTATGTGAAAAAATAACCTTATGTAAAAGGTTTTCTAGGTTCCTATCATAACTTCAGGATATTGCCCCTTGAATCATTTTAAACCTACAAGTTTTAATGATCCAAGGGTCAAATCATCTGTTTTCAGGATACAGGGTGTTGAAATAAATAAATATCACATTTAAACATCAAAAACGTTTGATGTAAATAGATGAAACTTGCCTAACAAATTATGTAATTAAAGGCAAAAATTCACTTAATTAAATTAATTAAGTGAATTTTGAAAATACAAATATGTCAACTGGTGGCAAAGATACTGAAGGGTACTGTCATTAATAATCCCAGAATTTCTGCGTCATCGCGTATTTTGAAAATTAGATAAACTCATAAGAAATAACAAGGGCATTTCTAAGAAAAAAAGTGTCTTCAATTTATTCCAAAAACGAGACTAGTTATTAGTTTTTTTTAAATTAAAAAATCTCATGACAGTTAAATGAATCTAAAGAAGGAATCTAATAATTTCACAAAATAAATATACTTATATCTACTTTTATTTTACATGGTGTAGAAAATTCCAACATAAAATTATAACACAGCCCCACAAAAAAAAATCGAAAAAATTACCCCTGGAGTCTGAGTACGTCTATCATATGTATACGGGGTCGCTGAATCCAAATTCCACGTCAGGATTTTTCATAACCATAAAAAAATAGGACCACAAACGCAATAAATCATCTACCCATTGACCACTCAATCTCAATAACCATAACCCCTTAACCTCGTAATCCCTTAAACCACATAACCTTAAAATGCTATAACTTCAAAATCCCAGAATCCGGTAAGAAAGAGACTTAAGCGTGTTGAAGTCCTGAAACACAATATATTCGGGCCATGCATGATTCTTGAGTCTTAAACCTATACCAACGAATATAGACTTCTTACAAAAGAACGCCCAAGTTTGGAAACATAGGTGACACCTATGACGTACTGTACACGTCCCCCAAGATTTCGTCCCCGATTTCCACCCCTGAGCGTTCTTCTACAAGAGGTCTACAGTTCTGGAAAATCCACATGGTCCATCTGCCTTTACATGAAAGCGACAAAGTAAAGTAAAGAAATCCGTGCGATAGACAAGGATGGCTATAGTGAAGACGTTTCATAATCTGAATACTCACCGCCCGCTTCGTGTTAGAAGTGGAAGTGACTATTCAGATTATGAAACGTCTTCAATGTAACCATCCTTGTCTATCGCACGGATTTCTATGACTTGCTTTATCGCTCTCACGTAACGGCCGATGTATATTCGTTGGTATAGGTTTAAGATTCAAGAACATATTGTTTTTCAGGGCTTCAACGTGCATAAGTCTCTTTTTTACCGGGTTCTGTGATTTTGGGGTTATGGTACTTTGAGGTTATGGGGTTTAAGGGGTTATGGGGTTATTGAGAATGAGTGGTCAATGGATAGAGCATTTATTGCGTTTTTGGATCTATTTTTTGAAGTTATGAAAAATCCTGACGTGATGGGGTTAAATGGACCCCGAATTTGGATTCAGCGACCCCGAAAACATATAATAGACATAGTCAGACTCCAGGGGTAATTTTCTCGATTTTTTTTTTGTGGGGCGATAAACAGTGAAGAGATAGAGCTCCCAATAAAAAAATTATGCGCTACTGATGTATATTTTTACTTTTGATAGTTCCATAGTATTCAAAATGGTATTGGGAATAAAAAAACGTAAATATTGTGTTTTCTTAAACGAATAGTGTGAACAGTTTTTTAATAGTTAATTAATAGTAAACAGTTGGATTGAAATTTAAGAAAATGACAATTTAAAAATGATTTTGGAATACAGTGAAAGAAAACTATACGAATTTGCTGTATATCTACTCAGATTTATTAAAAATCTATTAATCACACTGTGTCAAAATGTCTCCGTCAATAGGTGACAGACTATGTACCTACTATTTGCTGAATTTTTACCGGTAACTAATTATATCATTTATTCAAGTTTCATTTATCAAAACATACAATTTTTTATTTTTAATCAGTATCTCAGTTTTTTTTAATGGCGTGGCGTTTGTTTCAGAAATGGTTCAAGCCATTACCTATATCGGTAAAGTTTTCATTTATTCTTTTATTTTAACGAACTTTTGATAGATCTTGTGGAGAACATCATACGGGAGGCATGGTCCATTCATATTATTTGACTGAACATTTTTTTATGCGAAAATTCAGAAATTCAGGGTTTTTTGACGGAAAACAATTGGACTGATAGGATTGTCTGAACAAAATATACCAATTTTTGTAGGATCAATAACTCAAATAATTAGTTAACAAAAAGTTTACAGGTATTTAAAACATATGTATTTTAAAAGAATGAACAGAGTTTGTAAGTTTTTGGCATTACTACAGTTTTTCGAAGTCTTATATGAGTAATACTAATATTTTAACTCTAAAATAACTGCAATTGGTTTTATTTTGCAATTTTTTTCAGTTAAATAAAAGAAATATAAATAATAATTAAACAAAATTGTTCAAAGTATATTGTCAAATAACCTATTGTTATGTGTAGTACATTATTCAAAATTCAAAATTTTGAATTTAAAATTCAAAAATGATTTATTCTTATAAGACATTGTACAATGTATAAGAAAGGTCAAACATAATTCAAAATTATATACCGGTACTACAAAAATAGATATGTTTTAAATAAATGACCACAGCCGACCATGGCTTTGCATTATAAAATAATGATTATTAAGTTACTTAAAGATTTTCTAACATTACGAGATCCCTTTTTATTTTTCAAGCATCCAGTATGAATCATCTAAGCAAACTTCGCAGTAGTGTAACATCCTGATATCAAAGTATCATTTCTGTTTATCTAATTTAGTGCAGATGGTCTATTAACTACTCAGGTCACTCAAAATTTGTTTGTGTATCAGATAAATAGTGGAGTGGCAGAAGCTCCCTTTTAAGTTTAAGTAGTACCAGTTTGAAACCAGTTTGGCATCAAAAATGTATAAGGTTAGTTAAAATTTTCATAATGCGTTACGCAAATAACATTACATCGCATGTCGAGGTACTTGGTGAAAATTAAAGTGTTAATATTTTGATAATGAAGCACATATGTGTGCAACAGATTTTTTTGCTTAAACAACTGGCACAATTTTTTTTTTCAGGAAATCAAATACTATTTTATTAACATTTTATATTCCAAACTTCATAATATTGTAACTAAAAGAAAAAATAACATTTCTAAAAAATAGAAAAACAGACATATTTTATTTGCTTATTTCACAGATTTCGTTGAAAAAGTCGTTATTATAATTTTCTTTGTGAGCATATAAATTACTTTTCAAAAACAGTGTGGGTCCCATGCTGCATTGTCAATATATTACCAATTTGCTAGTACTAATCGCCACTGTTTAATATGTTACATTCATGTTAGGTATTGCCGATTTTTGTATTTTCAGATCTTTGTAGTATTTTGCGTGTTATTAATATTTACTAAAGGACAATATGAGAACTCGGAAAGTGAGGTAGGTCTTGATTTTTTACAAACTGGAAAGAAATATGTATATCTTCTTTTAGGAAAAGGGAACGACTCAAGCACCGTCTTTAGATAGTCAGGAAGAAATTGAACACAAATTAGAACCATCAGGTAAGAGTTTTATCATAAAATTGATGTAGAATAAATTTTAACATTTTTTATATTTATGAAGTACCTCAGGTGAATATTGGCAACTCTTACATAATGGCAATTGTCTATTATATGAACTAGTCCGGTATGTTTTCGTAAAATTATTTAAAAAGATTACTTTATATGCTCAAATTCTTACATTGGCAAAATTCTATTATCCAATGGATAATCATAACAGTCTATCATCGATGCAGTCATAAGTTTAATCATCATGAGAGACAATTATAAATTACTTTCTTACTGTTTCTAATCATTGTTAAATTTTACTTATCCATGTTACCTTTTTAGATTCATACAATTTTCATTCAATGAAAGTCAGATATCTTTTGTGCTGCGAAATACGGATAGCGCCGATATTTAAATATATAATTTTTATTTTAAGGCATCCAAATTTTTAAAGAGATTTCAGGTATAATAGGTACTATACAGGGTATCTCAAAAGTATGGAAACCCTAGAATAACTCGGAAGTAAAGGGCTATACGGAAAAACATTTCATACAAAAGTTTCAGGATTTTTTCCGGGCTAAACAATGATGACATTGAATTTGACCTTGGTCTTGACCTTGAATGTCATTTCAAGGTCAAGGTCGTTTTTTCAAATGGGAACCCCTGCTTTTTATCACGCTATTGGAAAGAGTGGAAAATTTTGCATCCGAATATGGCTTTGACCATGACCTTGAGATCATGGTTATTTCAAGGTAGGGGTCAATCTTTGTGAGGGTAACCCATATTTTTTATTGTGGAGTTAGGAGCGGAAAATTTTGCTTCCGAATATGATTTCATGACCTTTATTTTTTAGACCACTTCAGAGGTAATGTAAAGTCAATTCAAAATTTTGTTAGATATTATCAATTTTATACCTGAAAGTCAATATGACCTTTGCACTTTCTTTCTTTTTCCCTTTCTTTTTAATTGTAATTTCTATCTTGACTTTGTAATATAACATACCCAGGTTCGACAAAAAATAAGTAATCGTAGTTGTGGCCAAAAATATGTGATCGTCATAAGGACTAACTACGTTGTGTGTATCTATTTTTTTAATTGACCGGAAGGCACTGGCTACTAACTTTGTAGAGGGGATGTATGGTTTAATTATATAAAACAAAAGCAGAGAAAATACACCTAACCTTTATTTACATACAATTCAAATTAAACATGTGACAAATAGAAAGAACAACAAAAACATTAACAACCATTAAATATAAAAGAGAGTGCCAGGCTCACCTAGAGCTCCTGTGGGGAAAGAGCATGGCAGAGAAACCCACGATCGTTGCTCTTACCACCCAAATATAAATACAAAACAACCGCTAATCAAAGGCATAAATTAAGAACCTTTGCTAATGATAAATAAGTCCTGTTTCATTTAATGTGTCACTAAATGTCATCTGTTAACCCCATATTAGTCATACACACTTCCAAGTAAAACTGGAGAGATTTGGTGTTAATTAGCCGGCAGAGCCGGAAGGTACTGAGGTCCCATAATACGGGAGGCTACTCAGCTAAAGTTGAGATTTCGGAAGATCCTTCTTAACACTGGAGTCCCATACGGGAGGCTATCCAGCGTAATCCAGATTCGTTCCGCACGGGCGAAAATGTTAGTAACTGCAACAAGGCTCGTATAGACGTGTGACATAAAGTGGACACAAGAAATCAAAGAACAACATGATCTTGTTTAAAACAAGTTAAATGTGAAATAAAGAAGTCGTTATTGCACTATCTGGGCGGTCTCGACAAAATACATATTTGAACATGTCATAAATAATGAACAACCTTAAATAATAATTGTAACAATTTTATATTAGAACATCTATATTTTACGAACAACGTCATCACTACAAAAACAAGTTAGCTGTAAAACAAAGGAGTCATTATTGTAAAGTCGGGGGCGCCCACGACGATATACATTTATTTCAAAATGAAATAAATAATGAGCAATCGTTAACAATAAGTATAACAATTTTACCTTAGAAAAATATATGCCCTTGAGCATAAAGCGACGGAAGCTAAACATACAAAGAATTATTATCATGAAACATCTATAAACATTACAATCATAAGATTTCATAGAACCATTAACAACAAAGTACTTAAAGGATATTACCTGCTAACTAATACCGGTTAATCACTTAATTTTTACACTACTTTGTCACACTGCCCGCCGATCGTCTTGCTACCTATCTGCACACTGTTCTCACTTCAACTGCCTATCTTCAACTAACTAGGCTTCCTTTCAGAATTTCCTACCTTAATGCCTGTTTTTTGTGCTTCCTTCTATCGACCGTTAATATTACTTTTTCATGATTATACAACACCTATGTAACAGGTGACGTCGAAGTTGATAAGATATGTACGGTTTTGCACAACTTGAAGGTCATTTCAATGGGGTCAAATAGGAATAACTACATAGGAATATTACTGATCATAAACTCAAAGTTATTTTATTGATATGTCAGACTTTTGATAGATATACGAGTTTTTACAACAAAGTTAATGTGCAATAAACTTATTTTGCCAGTCAGAATCTAGGCTGTGACTCAAGGTTAAGTATGTTCTTCAATAATATGCTTACATTTTGATTTCAGAAAATTAAGCATAAAATCGATGGTATTTTTTTTTTATAAGATGAAAAAATGCATTTACGCATACACTCGGGAAGGTGCTTGTACAGGGTTATGTGTGACTCGCCGTAGCCATATCCACTAAAACCTCATCTGTTACCGTCACCAGATGGAATGGAATGGATGGAATCGAGGCTAGACGGGATAAGATCCAACCAGTAAAGGCAAGATACCTTAAGGTCCGGCCAGTGAAGGCACGACACCTTAAGGTCCGGCCAGTTAAGAAGGTAAGACACCGTATGTCCGGCCAGTTAAGGCAAGACGGGATAGGTCCGGCCAGTTAAGGCAAGACACCGTAGAATCTCATGGTCATGGTCAAAGTCAAATTCGGACGTAAAATTTTCTGCTCTTTCCAATGGCGTGACGTAGGGGTTCCCATTTGAAAAAATGACTTTGACCTTGAAATGACCTTCAAGTCATTTAGTGAGTTATTCTGCGGTTTCCAGGCAGTATCTATCAAAAATCTTATTTGACCTTAAAATGACCTTGACCATGGTCTCAAGGTCATGGTCAAAGTCAAATTCGGACGTAAAATTTTCCGCTGTTTCCAATGGCGTGATAAAAAGTAGGTGTTCTCATTTGAAGAAATGACTTTGACCTTTAAATGACCTTCAAGGTCAAGGCCAAGGTAAAATTCAAGGTCATCATTGAATAGCCCGAAAAAAATCCTGAAACTTTTGTATGAAACGTTTTTTCGTATAGCCCTTTACTTCCGAGTTATTCTGGGGTTTTCATACTTTTGGGATACCCTGTATGTTTCATATTTGAACAAAATGCGTTCAAAATGAACCAGTGCCATTTCAAAACAAACACATCAACAGTTCTGGACGTTTCTATTCGATAGACATTTACTCTTATCTTTAGAAGACGTCTGAATTGAAATTTTCTAAAAAAGCAGAATTTTGGAAATGAATCATGTGAAGCGTTGTGTTTAAAAAATGTATATATTATAGTCTCAAATTTTAATTTCGTTTTAGGAAAACCTTTCTTAGCCAGAGATTCTAAAGATATTGATTCAGATGAGTATGATTACCTTTATCACCCCAATAACCCATTACATGTATATTACCGTAGGCGTCGTTATAAGGATGCTGATTATTTGCAGACTATTATATCCATGGGAAGAAGATTATAGGATGTCTATATAGTACCTATATAAAATGTTTTATGTGAAATGCAGTGTATTTCAAATTTGATTTTTATCAATTTAATTCCCATTTTTTAGAATACTAGGTATATTATTAGAAAAAGTACAAAACAAAGGAAGTATTAAACACCGAACAAAATGTTTTCATAAACTCGAAATATAATGAGGTTTTTATTTTATAGTAATTTTGGAAAATTAAAAGGTTACTTTTGTGAGAGCATACTAACCTGCATTAAAACAGAAATTAAATATCTAAATATGAAGAAGGTATAATGAAATGTGAAATACACTGTATATAGATTTCTAATAATGTAGCCGATGTTTGATAAAGTGAAATAATAAATATCAGTATAAATGTTATTCAAAGTATAGAATCACCATTATTCTGTTCTTAGTTATGTTTAAATAGAGTTAAATGAATGAAGATACAACAAAATAAAATGCTGTAATGTTGGTAACTAGAAAAATATTATAATTACACATTTATTAAACTTGTAGGTACCTATGTTTAGCAAATAGAAATAATTTTTTGAGAAAACAACTCTTGTAGAAAAATATTTATAATGTAAAAGTTTGCAAATTCTTAAATCGATATTACAAAAAGAGACTAAAAAAGAAGCTATTATAAAAAAAGAATAAAACAAGAATTTATTGTTTTGAAAGAAAATTATAATAAATATTATACCTATGATGTCTCTTCCATCTATGAAAATAAATAAGAAATAAAAAATAAACTGACACATCTTACATTATAAAAAAGCCAAAAACTTTTGAAAACCTTCGGCATGTATCGAATGTCTCGAATTTCACTGTACCTATATACTAACCATACACACTTATCAGTATTACCAATTGTTACCTATCGTTTAAAGCCAACTCTGTTTGAAAGTAATGGAGTGGCAGAAAACGAAATTATAATGTAAAATAGATTTGTAAAGATAAATTGCTTTTGTATGATTTGCGATATGTTATTTAAAAGTCACTATATTTTTCAAATGTCAACGCGAACGTAAGACTGGTGGTGAAAATCAAGAAGAAGAAGAAGAGAAGAAGAAAACATTATGGTTGACAGAGTAGTCAGCGGTCGATAGATATATGGAGTGTCATTAATAAGAGTAATCAACACAAAATTGTAGCTTGTGAAGACTTTATTACTTGTAGTAGACGTTAGACGAGAAATAAAAGATCAGTAGTGAACAGCAACAGTTCTTGGTCCCCTTATCCGCCTCCTCCCAGAAGTCACCCTGATTGTTCCCTGTGTTGGAATGAATCAAACAAATTTTTCTGTTGCCAACACTGGCCAACATAAAAATTTTTCGAGTACATATTTTAAAAAAAGTATATTTTTTGCATGATTTATTATACAAGGTGTTTGTAAATAAGTGTGAAATATTTTAGGGGGTGGTTGCCGAAATTATTTTGTGAAAAAAAGTTCATATAAACGTAGGTCGAAATATGCTTCGTTTCCGAGATATAGTGTGTTTAAATTTTATTTTTTTTTAATTTTTACTAATTATTTCAAAGAGTTTTAAAGATGTTGACTCGAAATTTGAAACACGCTTTGGAGGGATAAATGGGCATTTTTGGGGTGATCCAAATATTTCTACTTGCACCAGTGGCGTTTGTGCGAGAATGCCACGACTTTTTTTAATGAAAATAAATGGCCACTGTCTTTTTCCCGTCTTGATATTTTTTTAGAAATCCGTCATCAATTCTGAATGAAATTGGTCTCTCGAAATTTTTTTCGTAGGATGCGCCGTTTTTCAGAAAAACATATTTTGTTGTAGGTTTTGTTAATCTTTTATTTAAGGGTCTCTTTTAGGGTGTGGTCAAAATAAAAATTCAACATTGAAAATAAAAAGTTGATATGAATGTGGGTAAAAAATTCTTCAATTTCGAGATACAGGATGTTCAAAACTCTCAAAAAAATAAATAAAAATTCTTTCTAATTTGATAGATTTGATTTATTTACATGTTCTTAAAATTACAAGATTTAAATAAAAAGTTTTTATTCCCGGTTTCATATTCAGCAACTTCATCAGCTCACTGTCAAGAAATCTGCATAAAAATTAGTTTCTTTTATATATAAAGAACCACTTTTCCAAGAAGTTTAAGACTTGATGTGAAGTAATGGTCCAAGAATTTAAGCACTGTTTTTTATAGCCATGAATTTGTTTACATTTTATTGCGAGATTTTAAATTAAACAAATATAAATTTATTAATAATAAAATTGATTATTATTATGGGGGTCTATTTATCTTTTTTTATATTTTAGTTTGCAATGTGGCAATATGCTTACAAAACTTTGATACACAAATGGTTTTCACGAAAGGTATCTTCAAAAAGTGAAGAATAAAATCATAATTTATTAAATTGTTTCAAATCATATTTACGTATAACCTCTAAAAACCTATATCACTGCTTTTGTTAAAACTTAAAATGATGAGAAAAAAACATTGAATTTTCATATACTTTTTATTTTTACACATAACTCTACACAGCTCTATTTTCCAAATCCTCCTCCAAATCCCCCAATAACAAGAATACCGCCACCTACAAAACCACCGCCGCCTCTTCCGTAACCTCCATAAGATGGCCTGTAAAACCTAGGTGGTCTGTATCCTCCGTATGGAGGAGGATATGGAGGAGGACCTCCATATCCTCCTCCATAACCACCCCCAAAACCACCTCCAAATCCGCCACCATAACCACCTCCAAATCCGCCACCGTAACCTCTACCATATCCTGGGGCAGCCACGGGCGTTGGCGATGCATAACACTGACTGATAATTGTGAACACCAAGATTACTGCTATTACCTAGAAACCAAAAAAGAATAAAATGTAGAACTGGGTCTAATCAAATGTTTAATTTAATTAAATTCTAAAGTATTAACTATATTTGGATCGTATTCGATGCAAAGTAGAGCAAAAAGTTGTCGGCCTTTTATCAAAGGAAAATCGTGTCATCATTTTTAGGAGGCGTAATATAAATCATTTCAAATTTTAAATGAAATTCAATGTAAAATCTGAAATACCGCTGCATACGCACTGTGTTCTGGTAGTAGCTGCAGTCGCCCAGGTGCATCGAGTGTACGAACTGGTCGGTTATACGTCAAATACTAACCTGGCGAGCTTTGCCGTCAATTAGAGAGCGCTTCCAAAAAACAAGTAAACAACAGTGGCGCGTAAAATGTAGTACATATGTGGAATTTAGGAAACAAATAGGATTTATAATAAATTACATTTAAAATAAATAGTTTATGAGAATAAAGGAATTTTTGTAGGAACAAGGGTGCCAGACCTGAACTGATCCTCTCGTCCCTTCATAATGTATAAAGAAATTATTCAATTTGTAAAACCCTTAAAAGCGTACTTCATTGGTTCCCTTGACAGACAATGATTTATTACTTTGCATCGAATATGATCCTACTATAGATATTTATTGATTGTTACTGTACTCTATTATTTGGCACTAAAAAATCTTCTTGTTTCCCAACAGTAGTGTTCACCAAATCTTAGATCACATAATAATCCTAAAATGATAACCCGCTATTGGCTTAAATTATTCTCGTTAGACTTTTAATCATACGAATATGCTGAGTGCAACTACAAATAAGTATATATATTACTACCGTTATTTTTTTGTCAGGAAAAGCACTTTACATTTAATCATTAATTATTAATTTTAATTTAACTTGGATATCATTAGAAATGACATAATACGTAAAATTATTTGTGTTAAAAATATGTATTCTTGCAATTTGTAAATCCTTTAGGAATGAAAATATTAATACTAATAAGAAATCAATATCTGGTTAATAATTTTTTACATTTACTGCCCTTGGGAACAAATATTTTCTTCTATTAAATAATATAACAAAACAAAGAGAAGTCGCTATCTGGTTATAACTTTAGGCTTATTATATATTCTACAATTTAGTAAGCATTTACTGTTTTTGGAAAAACAAAAAGTGTTTTAATGATAAATAGAACAATGCAGTAACTAGAAGTCAATATCTGAGTTAATACTTTAAGATTAAATATGGTCTAAAATTGTCATCTAACTATTTTCAGGAGACGAAAGTATTTTTGTCATATGATGAATTTACAATACTTAACGGACTTCTGCATAATTAGCCACAATCGAATAGTAAACTCTATTTATTTCGCGAGTTTTCGGAATTTAACTATCCCTTCTTCAGGAGGAACTACAAAAACTAATATTGAAAGTCTAGGTAATACTAGTTGAAATATAGATTACTAACAAATTTGAGATTAGTAAAAAATTATCAAGCTAAACATATAATTTTCTTAAAGCACAATTATAAAAAACCTTTTTTAAAAACATTGTTAAAATATAATGATGAACTTCATAAGTCAAATATTATCGCCATGACAAAGCTTTTCATTTGAAATTCAGATATCTAAACCAAAAAACATTTATAACCTTACAATATTGTTAGCCATATGGTAACTAAACCATCGAATATCACTGAACTATAGAATTAATTCTAATTTATTTTTATATACAGTGTTAAAGTTTGCACCATATGGGAAAAAACTTTATGTATAAATTTAATAAATTCCTTCGACTGTCAGTTGTCTCTGCATGTCATCAAATCAAAATAGCCCCCATCAAACTTCATAAAACGTTTGTTTATACGAGGGGCAGACGAAAATTGCAAATCAGCCCAGGAGTAAAGTACCCTTATTTTCAACCCTAGTGGAAAATATTTTAAAGAAAAGTTATTTCCCTCTAAAAGATAAGCGCGAATATAAAGTTTCAGTTCAATATGTTGAAAAAGCGATTCCTGACAATTTTACAACTTTCCCTCATATTCGAGCGAAAACATCCATCACTATAGTCACGTATATTTAGTACGCTTCTACAAGAAAAACATAATTCCTGAAAACAAGTTCAATCAGGAACTAATAAGGCCGTTATAAAAAAATGGTGTAAAAAATAAGAACTTTGGTGCAAACTTTATTTTATGTTCAAGAATATTTTAAATGTTAATGTTAATTTAATATTATTCATGAAGTATCGCCTACAATGATTTACCTAGAAGTAGGGTTTTCCGTAGTCAAAAAGTAGATTGTTAATGATATCAGTTTTCTTTTTGTATTTTTTTTCTACATTGCTCTGTAATATAAAAATTGTTTCCACTTTATAGCAACCAGAGTTAATATTTTTTGGACGAATGAACTGTAACTGTTAATTTAAAAATTGGTGTATACGAGGTTTACCATTTTACTTAGTTTTTATATTATTCTTGAACATAAAATAAAGTTTGCACCAAAGTTCTTAATTTCCACACTATTTTTTATAACGGCCTTAGTAGTTCCTGATTTAACTTGTTTCAGGAATTATAATATTTTTCTTGTAGAGGCGTACTAAAAAAACGTGACTTTAGTCATGGATCTTTTCGCTCGAATTATGGCACGAGGGAAAGTTGCAAAAATGTCAGGAATCGTTTTTTTAACATAATGAACTGAAACTTTATATTTTGGCTAATCTTTTAGAGAGAAATAACTTCTCTTTATAACATTTCTACCTAGGGTTGAAAATAAGTACTTTACTCTTGGGCCGATTTGCAATTTTCGTCTGCCACTTGTATATAGCACACGTTTTATGAGGTTCGATGGGCGCTATTTTGACAGTCGAAAGAATTTATTAAATTTATACATAAAGATTTTTCCCATATGGTGCAAACTTTTTGAATAGCGCTGTATAAATGTAAAAAGAATGTTACATAAAATTGACCAATTTATTGGTTAATTTATGTTATCAACTTAAAATGAAAACCACGAACTACTACTACTGATTTCTATATGAACAATTACTCGTATAAACCTTATGTTTTAAGCCGAAACCAAAGTTGAATTTCCTGAAACAGATTGGTTTTGCCACATGTACCTAGCTCTTTGGTGACAAATTTAATTGATGGTAGTGATTTTGACTTTTGCGATAACATCACTTTTCATCCAGGTATGATCTACATGTTTTCTACTGAATTTTCTCTTACTTTAAATATGCTTATTCATATTCTGCGTACAAGCAACTGAACTGAACTTTTTTTAATTTGTAATGATCCATTTTTCTAATAAAAGTCTGTACAAACTTGTAACAATGTATGACAAAATATAATCCAGCTGCAGTAACTACCACATGTACCTAACTTCTACTTAAATATTAATGTTTTTAAAATTTAAGCAAGTACCAAAATTGTAGAGAGTAAATAAAATTGGTAGGTACTGCTGCTAATGTAACCTGCTAAAAATAACCAACAGGGAATTAGAACCAGTCTACAGTTTCCAGTTTCTTGGCAATTTATTGAAGTTATAGGAAATTTTGCACATTTTTTTTAGTAGATGTTCTTAACCAAATCAATATTGTGTTCTTTAAAACGGACATGGTAAAACAAGACATACAGGGTGGGCCATTAGTGTGAGAAAGTACACTAACTCCCTTGTTACTTAAATACAGAAAAAAAGTTTATATAAAAGTTGTACAGAATCAAGAAACCTAAACTAAAAAATTAATTTCATACATACAGGGCGATGAGTAAAAACGGGACACGCCAAACATTACATTTTTTAAATGGAACACCCTGTATATTTTTAAACAGCTCGATTTCTGAGAAAATTCTATATATGGCAATATAAACAGTTTATCATTTTAATGCGGGGTTACCAAATTATGTAGAAAATTCTTAGAATTTTGGAAAAAACATGACATCGAGGAAGTTGTATTAACTTTCAACTACTAACACTTGGAGCAAAAATATTTGACAGAGTTATAGGCAAGTGTTATACAAAGGCTCTTATATTAGCTAATATCGATATTTTATACAGGGCATTTTTTTATAAGACGATAATTTTTAGAAAGTTCAAACTTGATTTTCTAAAATTTTTCAAATGGAACACCCTATATTTTATTGTTTTATTTTATTCGCATATCAATCCGCTTCAACTTTTATGAAGCATGTTCTATACCTAAAATTGTTAGTTTTTAAGATATGGCAACATTTCTGAAAATACTTAATTTTTTTATTTTCGGTCGCACGAGATGGCTTTGGAAGAAACATTTTGTGCATATCCAAAAAATTTGAACCATGTACTAAATCGGAATTATCTCGTTTGTGTGTTTTCTTGTAATAAAAAAAAACATTCTTTTTAACTTTTAACGCCTCCTATATCGTGAAAGAAGCGTTTCCAGACATACAAGATTCTGTTTCCATTGATTGCTGACATAGAATTCAAAGGTTGGGCAAACTTTTTCTTATATTAGTTTTTTTATCACCTGGTGAAGTTTACTGATTAAAACCTGGCCCATCCTATATTAAAAAGTCACTTTTTATGTTTTACGGGAGAATATATGTATTAAATTTTTTTGGCCTAGATCCCTATTTGGTCACATAAGTAACATACAATTACTTTTATGAGTCCAGTACTTAATAATTCCAAAAACAAAAATAAAATAATAAATAATGTGGTCCATAACTAATAATTTATGAAGTAATCCTATTCGAAATCTTGATTATTATTATCACTGTCACTATATCAACAACACATTTTTTGAAAAATACTTACTTTAAGCGACATAATGTTTATGAGTAGTCAGTCCACTTTAGATTACACACTGCGTATTACAGAGTTACCCGCGCTCCCGAGAGAACAGCACAATCGAAATTTGCAATTAGAACAGATTTTCATATGGTACAAAGTTAAGTAGAAATCAATGTCATATCCCTCCCATTATTTTTATTAACAAATTCTACAAAAATACTCTGTGAAAATATCTACTCATCGTTAGTAATATCTACCATAATAATTATTGTCAATTAGCAGGATTGGTTTACTTACTCATTCTGTATGAGCAAATATTTATCGAAGATTCTACTGGATGTAAACGTCTAGACCGCATAAAATTACATCTAAAATGTCAATAAAATATAAAACAGACTTATCGTTAGTAGCATGACTACCTCTTTCAAAAATTGTTGGAGTTTACAGAGTTTTTTCTTTGGGTATTTAAGTGGTCAATACTAAGAATCAGTTGTCAAGCTTGTCATAGTAAGTGAATGGAAGTGATCATATTCTGATAGCGATACTAGTTCTAGTATCATGTTCGCTCGGGATACCTTGATACTGTGCATATGGCTTATTTCATATACAGTGTACAATAATTAGTTAACTGCCATCAGAGAAATATATTAAAAAATCGTCCACATTTTAAAAACGATACCACAAATCGCACACAGCGTAAACAGAAGTAAAGTCACATATTCGAGAACATGAAAGCCATGGCCATACGCATCCGGACAACATCGGTTGCAATCAATATTTTCATCCATGTTTTGAATCCAATTGTCAAAACTGTCCACGAAGCCGCAAGCCGCTCCAAACACATCCCGCCAGAGAGCCCGATGCTGTTGGCAGCACTACCGCCGAACATGGTCAAATAAGCGAGTAAGTTTCGAATATAAGATTTTAATTAGATCCCATGATAGGTTGAAACGACTTCAAGGATTACTCAAAGTGAGGAAAGGCTCAGCTGAAATCTCCAGTGAAAAATGCCATCGAAAGTGTGTACTACAAGTTACAGGCAATACAAAGAGAGTTTCATACTCTTGCGAACATCCGATCCAGATTCCAAATTCCAGAAAAAGAAGCATAGACTTTGCCTTTATTGGGCGGATCTTGTATACTACGTGCATGCATGAAATTTTGAAAAGAAAAATAATTTACAAAAGTTTGTTTAGGCAAGATAAAATTAAGTTAGGTCTGGTTTAAGTAATATTTATAGTACCTACCTGAGTATTCATGCTTTAATTCATTCATTAAATATATAATTTTAAATTTTAATTAAACCTTCAGTGTATGAAAAATTATGTTGACCGCGTCTAAACGGCATAGTTTCAGTATATTCCATTTAGGAAAAAGCTTACGTTTACCAACCAGCGTCCATTCCAGGATCAGATTGATGCGATGTTGGTGAATAACCCAATTTTTCGAGGTCTAGGTTACATTAGCGGAAGCTGCAGCTCCGCTTTGCTTTCGAATAAGTCTCCCTAGTCATGCGGTAGCCGCTTTACATCCCCCAAAACCCAAAAGAGTTGTAGAAGCCACCACGACGAAAAGGCATAACAATCTGAGGACAAGAAAATTTACACCAGTTTCTAGTTCCACTAAACGATATGCCGAGAAGTCAGTCTCAGGGAGCCAGAGAGGACTACTCGTAAGTTCCTGGTGACACCGTAAATTCAGTTTTTGCCTATTTTATATGAAACATTTTGATACTTTATATGTATTATTTAGTGAAGATTAAACAAATTATGATTTTAAACAATTTTTTTGTTTTTATAAGCTCTGGCTTAGGTATAGCCGTAATTAGATATAACTACTGTCAAGCTACGGTTAGTACATGTGTATTCTATGAATAAAAAAGACAATGAAAGAATACAAACTAGCGAAAAAACTAATAGTATAGCTGCTGGTATCAATGGTCAAAAATAATTTAAAAACTATAAATGCCACCAAGAATACCTTAAGAGTCTTTGTTTCGTGATATTTTTTTTGTCGATAGAGGGTTTGAGAAAATGCACATGTCTTTTTGAAGTGCCATGATTTACTATATTTGTTACATGTCCCTACAATACACCATTCCAGAAAAAAAAAAATAATTTGTTACTGTAGTCATCAGTTACGGAGAGAGAAGAGAGTAGTATTTGAGCATATTTCTAATACACTTAATCTTTACTCTCTTACTAAATGAAATATTTTTTATGATTTCAACCAACCTACTTCTATCAAAAAGTCAGGGTTTACTGAATGTAGTACTGCAAATTTAAATTTATATTTCAGTAAGTGTTGACTTTTGAATGGGAGTAACATAGTTTGGATCATTAAAATATGTAATGTAGCAAAAACGAGAAAATTAATTAGACTAAACCTTTAAATGTCCAGCTGTGTATAACTGATAATTGCACTAAAAAAAATATTTTTTCTCTGGAAAAGTATATTTTGGCGGTATGCAAAAATCTCCAACATCAAAAAGTATGTTAAAAACCGAAAGACTGTTTCAGGTGTTTTCAGCGACCTCTATATTTGAGGAAATAATGTGAAATACCTATAGATATTGTCCAAGAAACGTTTTTTTAAGGAAATAAGTATAACATAGGTATATAATTTTTATTTAGATAATGTCGAAATGAGGATTTCTAGAAACTGATGACTCAATGAATTTCCTCAAATGGCGTATTTATAGATTAATTTCGTTTAACGAAAGAAGAAGCTTCACAAGAACTACTATAGAAATAAATGAAATAGACCTCTGAGTTTAGAAACCTATATTAAGAAGTAGGGGTAAAAAAATTTGAAATTTGGACCATATAGCCTCACTATTACTCTATTGTGTGCTACAATTTCAGTTAGTTTCGTTATCCCATTTTTTAGTTATTAATGAAAATGTTGAAAAAATAACGGTTTTCTGCCTATAAAATTGATACCTCTCACTTTCTCTCGTCGTAATTTTTTTGTTAATTGATAAAAAAATTCCAAATTTTTACTGATGATAAATCAAACTATTATTGTCTTTAGTACTGTGAAGGTCATTTGTCTCAAAAGCTCTTCTTTTTTTTATTTTTAAGCAAAACAGAAGGGAGTGCTATCTCCGTAAATATTGCATTTTGTAAAAAAAGAGAAAAAACTGACTTAAGTAGTAATTAATTTTTAAGAATATCATATTTATAACTATTATTTTAACAAATTTTTTCAAATTGTTGTTTATAGTTATTTACTACCTATCAGTTTTTTTCTTTTTTTTTAGGAACGCAATATTTACGGAGACAGAACTCCCATCTGTTTTGCTTAAAAATAAAAAAGAAGAGCTTTTTGACCTTCACAGTACTAAAGACAATAGTTCGACTTATCGTCAGTAAAAAATTGGAATTTTTTTATTAATTAACAAAAAAATTACGAAGAGTTAAAGTGGGATGTATCAATTTTTTAGGCAGAAAACATGTTTTCATTAATACCTAAAAAACGGAATAACGAAACTAACTGAAATTTTAGCACACAATAAAGTAATAGTGAGGCTATAATATGGTCCAAAATTCACGTTTTCTTAATATCGGTTTCCAAACTCAGGGGTCTATTTCATTTATCTCGGTAGTAGTCTTCTCAAAGACAGTCTTACGCAGACAGTTTCCCCGTGTGAAAGCGGTCTTATTCTCTTCAAAACAAAAAGGTTTTATTACCTATTTATTAATTTAATAAATGTATTATGTTATTAAAGACATTTCTTAAAAAAATTATACTTGCTCGGTAGTTCCTAACTTACCTGGATTACTGTCATTTTAATGTATGTACAGGGAGTTCCAAGAAACAGCACAACAACTTTTAAAATTGCTAGACATCGAATAAGTAATTGTTTTACTTAAAAAAGTAGTCGAGTTAAATATTTTTAAAGACATTGCCCTGTACGCCACTGATGTAAGAAGTGAAATGTTTGAAGATGATTTTAATTTTTTACAATAAAATGTTGAAACTGAGATATCAACACAAAACAATTTTTGATACGTTCTCTTAAATATCCTCTCCCTCTCATTACTTTCATTTTTTCAGAAAATATTGGAGATATTATGTTTTTAATAGCAGAAACGAAATCTTTAAAAGGCAAATATTTATATAAGAAAAGAATTTGGAAAGCAAAATGATTCTTCATTTTCGATACGTTGTAGACTTACATTTCAATATTCATAAAGTTCAGATGATTAGCATTCAAAGACGACGAAAAATTATCGTAAGAGTCGATAAGGAGATCTTAAACTAATTAGACTAAAATATTCTAAAAATACAAAATGGTGTGAATTAATAAAAGTTTTTGTACAATTTTTAAAGAAAGTTTTTTTGTTCTCGAAACGTCTTATTTTTTTTGACAACGCTATAGTGAATTTTAATACAGAAAATATAAATCATATTTCAGTTAACTGATTTAGGCAACATTATGCTGGTTTAGACTGCACTTATACTTATTATTGTTATGAAAATGTTAGTCACTGTTTTAATACATTATTTTTCTGACATATTTTATACAGATAAACATTTAAATGAATTTCTATACTTTGAAATTGAATTAACACTTTCCGAGGCAGAATTGACCAAACTGAATTAAAAATCACACCTAAAATTATATATACTAATCTGAAACTGGAACTAAACTGATTCTTATTTAAAAACCTGTTTGAAATACATTTAAAGTTTTCCGAAACACAAATATTTTCTGGGAAAAAAAAACATTTTATGAAATCAATTAGAGTCTGCTGACATAAAATTTATGAACAAAATTTATTCATGAATTTATGACAGAACTAACTAATCTGAAATTGAAATAATGCGTTTTTACCTTAAATGTATTGATTTTAACTGGTTTCCAAGACAACCTAACAAACGAAGTCGTAGCTAAAATCGTGTATAAAATCATGATCCTCTGTTTAGGCCCATTAAGTTCGGGCAAGACTCTACTCCTAAAAAACCTCCAGAGCAATGAAAATATCGATAATACGACCACTGCTGTGCCCACAATGGGCACAAACATTTTCAAAATCAGGATCCAGGACAGTATCTATGAAATTCGCGAACTAGGTGGAGCTATGGCACCTATATGGTCGATGTACTTAAACAATGTTTGCAAGGTGATATACGTTGTAGATGCATCAAACTTGTGCCAGATATCTGCGGCCAGTGTGCTTCTGTATACCATATTAGTGAATCCTGCTCTGAAAAATGCGGAAGTGAGTTTATTCCCGACTTGTATAAGAATAATATGGCAGTTTTGTTTCCATAACAAGTATCTGGTTTATAATTATTTACTTTATATAACACAAAGTAAATGCATTTAATTTATTAACACCTACTTACTCAACTTTCTTTATCACTTGTAAAATATAAGGATTTCTAGTATAACAGGTACCTACAGAATGTTGTTTTCTACCCATAGAACTAAATAACCTAAAAAAATATTCCATCACAATACTAAATACAATATTTAATATTTAGACAACTTTTGATAACAATCCATTTATTTATGTGAAATTTTAGTTTTTATTGGTATTAACTAAAATGGATGTCAGCTACAGACAAATGAGGAACGAGGCGCTCTTGATGTTGCAGATGAAGAGATTACAGAAAGAAGTTAAACAAAATATTACAATTACGGAAGCAAGTGCGATAAGTGGGGAAGGTAGAAAGGAAATTCTAAATTGGATAAAGAATGATAAGTCGCTAGTTAATAAAAAACAGGACAAAAATTAGTGCTAAGTATAGAGGTTGTACCTGAAGAGATACGTTAAATGAATATAATGTTTTATTTATTGTGCAAAGTATAGTTAAAACCAAAGATTTTTAATTTTGTTAATTTGAAAATAATAAAGTACGCATTAAAAATGTTTTATTAGAATATTTTCATTTATAATTTTATAAGGGAAAATATTGTCGTGACACGTTAGCTGTTGGATGTTCTAATTATAAAAATCCTGTGATTACATAATTTCAAAAGCGGCGGACACGTCGATTTTGTCAGTATCATTTCCAGTAATCCAAAGTATATGTATATATGATGTTTTGGAATTATATTTTTACATTTTTTTTTTAATTATGAATTTTTAAATAAAACTCAACTTTCAGTTTTTCAACTGATACAATAATTTACATTGGATTTATTTAAATAAAATTTATTGTTATGCACAGAGGTTTTGTTGATTAATAGAAAATTTATAAATTTCTTTATCTATGTTATATTAAATTATTTGTGTGTTCAGGATTCAGGGTTTTAATTTTGCCCAATTGTATGTACATACAGTGTAGGAAAGTACCGATGGTCTATCAGAAGTTACGTGAGAGCGATAAAGTAAGCCATAGAAATCCATGTGATAGACAATGATGCTATAATGAAGGCGTCTAATAGTCAACGCCCATTTCGCCCTTCCACAAATAAGATCCACTTCTTATTTGTGGAAGGGCGAAATGGGCGTTGACTATTAGACGCCTTCATTATAGCCATCCTTGTCTATCACATGGATTTCTATGGCTTACTTTATCGCTCTCACGTAACTTCTGATAGACCATCGGTACTTTCCTACACTGTATATTAATTTCTATGCAAAATTAGGACTTTTTTGCTTTTTAAGAATCCCATATGTTTCAGTACTTTAAATAGCAAAAAATGATAATTACAGACAGAAAATTGCTTTTAATTTTAGCGCACCTGCAAGTGAAATAATAGTTATTGAAATTAACATGCGCCTCATTTGTAGCAGGTACCTTACTATAAATAATATTCTAACAAGCAAATATGACTCAATTCTCAAACCGGACAATGTTTTCAACGTAGTTTATATTTTGGATGACTTGATATAATAAAAGTTAATAAAAATGTAAATAAATTATATAGTAATTAATATTTATATTATCATTAAAACATTGTTTTTAAGGTAACTGCTTTGTAAAACAGAAATTATAGATTATAAGGAAATAAAATATAAAATCAATTTTCTCGTAAATGAGAGGAATTGAAATAAAGTTTTTGCAAATGTTCAAATAAAATAAATAAGTATTCTAATTATCACATTTTTAATAAAATCCGTTTCCTGCGCCAAATCCACCTCCTTGACCACCTCCGAATCCGCCTCCTTGACCACCTCCAAATCCACCTGCTTGACCACCTCCGAATCCGCCTCCTTGACCACCTCCGAATCCGCCTCCTTGACCACCTCCGAATCCACTTCCTCGGCCACCTCCAAAACCTTCTTGTCCACCTCCAAAACCTCCTCCTAGACTACCTCCAAATCCACCTTGTTGTTCACCTCCCAGTCCACCTCCTTGTCCGCCTCCGATTCCACCTCCAAATCCACCTCCTTGTCCGCCTCCGAATCCACCGCCTAGTCCACCACCTTGTCCACCCTCAAATCCATCTCCTTGTCCGCCACCGAATCCACCTCCTTGTCCACCTCCAAATCCACCTCCTTGTCCACCTCCAAATCCACCTCCTTGTCCACCTCCGAATCCACCTCCTCGACTACCTCCAAAACCTTCTGCTTGCCCACTTCCAAAACCTCCTCCTTGTCCTCCACCAAAACCACCTCCTTGTCCTCCTTCATATCCCAATGTTCCTTGCCCACCTCCCACTCCTCCACCTATGCCAATTCCTAATCCTAACTGTTTTCCACCTGAGCCTGCTCCGATGCCTATTCCAAGCCCAAGTCCTCCTGAACTTCCCTTACCACCACCTGCACCTTGTCCAAAACCACCGCCATAATCTCCTCCACCACCGGCTCCACCTGCTCCACCATTGTAACCTTCTAAACTTTTTCCCAGTCCACCTCCATAGCCAATTCCAAATCCACTTCCATGTCCGCCTCCATAGCCAAGAACTTCCACGAATAGTAAGTATAAAATCAAAGCGCCTACCTGAAAAGTATACCTATATAAACTCTTGTTCTAATCTCTTTTGATTAATGTATTTCACTTAGTTAATTTTCTGTGTGGATTGTTGAAAACTAAAATCATAATAGCTGTTTTACATTGACAATTTATTGATAAATTCATTGATGAAGTCGCTTCATCAAGAAATTGGACAAGTGTAATGCACCAAATCAGCTGTCAAATTACTTCATCAATTTATTCATCAAGTTCTTGACGAATTAGAGCATGTTCTAAATTTCGTCAAGTATCAACCTAATATGTCAGAACGGTACCGGTGTTGTATCACTAAAATTATGTGGAAGGTGACATTTTTGAAATTTATTTGCTTCTGTGATTCATTGGTAGAACTGATTCATACGTCAAAAAACTTGACAAAGTCTGTAGCAGTGTAAAACCACACTGTTTGTCAATAAATTCGTGAATTAATTGATGAAGAACTTCGGCAATTTATTGATGAATAAATTGTCAATGTAAAACAGCTATAATAAATTAATATATGTTTTCTCCGCAAAATTAATATTATGACAAATGTTACGGATAAATTTTCATTAAAAATGCGACAGTAAATAATATACAAATTAAAATAATTTAGTGTTAATAATAGATTTACGCATAGATTTACAACAAAAATTATTTATACAACTTGTAGAACAATATGTGCTATAAACCTAAAATCTTAGGCATTGTTGTTAGCTTTTAATTTTTACTCAATAAAATAATAAATTTATAATCAGCACAATCTTAACATTTATTATCCGTTTACTGAAGCTGCGATTTATGCAGAAGTTTAAAAATATTTACCTTTAACTTCATGTTGGCAGTCCTTCTCACTCTTTAGTAACTGCTAATATTCTCTATTTGTTATCTGTTTTATACCAAAATGTACCACTAAAACAAGTTTTTGGTATTTTTGTAATATTACTAATTAGACTAATGGTATAAAAGAGTTATCTTAAGAATTTATGTGGCATCTGAAGGTTTCTCTTAGATTCTGAATATACCGTGAGGAAAAATCAAATAAAACTTTAAAGCAAACCTAAATTCACATTATGTATGGAATCAGGAATATTTTTAGTGCCGGTAGCAATAAATAAATTATCCATGATTCCAGTTTTTCTGTAAATTACTGCATCCAATTTCATTGCTAAATAATCTTCTTGAGTTTTGTTCACCCATGTTTTGTTAGTTTTATTTATAAAATAACCTTCATTTTAATGGAACTACTGTTCTTTAAATGTTTTAATGACTTTAAATATAAGAGATTAGTTCACATTTAACTATCTGTAAAGTTTGTTTACTTGAAAAAGAAAAATTAGTTGTAAAATAATATTTGTGTGAATGTATGTACGCACAGAAGGTACACTGAATATATTTTATATTGAAGTATTAAGCAATGAACTATTACTCCACAGAAAAAGACTAGTAGACATTTTTTTTAAATATGTATGCATCTCATGTTTGGAAATATGAGCAATGGCATATCTACAATCAAGTAGATGAATACAGAGCAAGATTGTGGGTAAGACAGAAAAGCTAAGTTTCTAACCTATTAAAAATCATGAATCACCCTGTATAATGTGTCCACGGAAAGAGGAGAAACTCTTTTGTTTTGTTCTGCCTCTCTTACAAACATCTTAGATTAGATATACAGGGTACTCGTAAATTAAAAAAACACGAAAATACTCAAGAGAGAAGTACCATTATTTATTATTTTATACAACATTTTTACAAAACAAATCTGTTTATAACCCCAAATAATGCCCTAATACAAATTTTAATCAAAATTTCAATTTTGAGATTTACGTGTGTCCACTGTGGCAGGAGAAACTCTTATGTTTTTGACTATATCGAAAAATGTCACTCTATAAAAAGTTCTGCCTCTCAAAAATATGAGACTGTCATAGAATACCTTAGATCAGATAGGCAAGGTACCCATAAATTAAAAAAAACACGAAAATACTCAAGAGAGGAGTGGCATTATTTATTATTTTACACAACATTTTTACAAAACAAATCTGTTTATAACCTCAAATAATGTACTAATACAAATTTTAAAATCAAAATTTCATTTTTGATTTTTATTTTACATAGCTACCTCTCACCTCAATACATTTTTCCGATAATAAATAATAAATTTTTTCGTACACTTTGCGAATAGTTTGAGACCCATTTAATTAATTTATTCCTTCTCGTATGCGCTCTTTTATTACTTCCCTATCATCATATTCAAATGAACTGGCACATTTGAATAAATCTTTTGTTTTAGGGCACCCAAAGAAAAAAGTCAAGGGGTGATCTAGCAGGATTGGGCCAAATCTTTCACCAAAATGATCTGCTAACCATTGTCTCACCAAGGCTGTAGAACGAGCAGGACAGCCGTCTTGTTGCCAAAACAGGTTATTGCGTACTTCTGGCTCTAAAGTATTTAAAAATGGTAAAACAAATGTTTCCAAATTGTGCAAATACTCATGCTGATTGAATGTGTCCCCTATGAAACATTAACTTTTTTGTACCATTGACTTTTTAATTACATATGCAGGGTTATCAAAGGACCTGCTTTGGCTAGATCGTCGGGAAAAAAAAAATAAATCTGTGAAATGTTCTGTTTTCAAGGTAATTTCCGCCTATCCATAAAGAAAACTCTAAACGTCTTTCTTCATCTCCAGGTTCAAGTATATGCAGCAGCCTTGGCTTGTAAGCGTGAAGTTTTATGTCCTTAAAAACTGTTTTATATTAAGCTTTTGCTTACATGCAGCCTCTGTTCACGCTTTCTCAAAGATAATTTAGGTTCATCTGCAACTGATCCGACTGCTAATAATGTAGCTGCATCATTTTCATCATGTTTTCATTTTTTTTTTTCACATCAATTATTGAACCAGTTTCAGTGAATTTCTTTATTAACTTTCTCAATGCTTCTTTCGAGACAGCCGTATTGGGGAATTTTTCATGAAAAAGTTCAATTGCAAATTGATAAGATAGATTTCCTATTCCGTAGTAATTTACAAAATAAACACATTCTTCTTTAGTTAACATTTTTTAGAATATCAACCACCACAAAATCAAAATACTGACAGACCTAAGATGTCACCATAGTTGACGTTTAATAAATCAGTTATCAATCAAAATCAAAAACAAAAGGTTTATTCAAATGATAAGTTAATCTAAGATGTTTGTATGACAGTCTCATTGTTTCGAGAGGCAAAACTTTTTATAAAGAGTGACATTTTTCGATAAAGTCAAAAACAAAAGAGTTTCTCCTCTTGTCAACTCCATCCGTGGACACACTATATTTCCAAATTATGCGTACGAATAACTAAAAGAGACTTTGCGTGCAGTGCGTGAACTGAGTGAATTTTTTCAACTCATTGAAGGGATTTTTGGTATACGATGAAGACAGACAGACTTCTTGGCAGAGCCACGTTCTCAAAGAAATTCACAAAAAATTTTAAGATACAGCTGATTTGAAGGCCTCGACGTATTCCTGGTAACCATGACTGATTTTATCTTCGGATGCCTTTGGTATTGGACCAGTGGATTGTACTATGTGCTGTACCTGAGGGCTATTAATTTAGGTTGATGGTCTATAAAATAAGCTCAGGTCACCCGTACGCTATTCAGGCTGTTACAAATTCGTTTCTCACTACAGGGATCTCGGAAACGGTAAGAGGTACGAAGTAGCTTAAATGGGGACAAAATTGCGTAATCAGGGGACCAACATTATGCCTCTAAAAAATCAAGGCTAACATGATTAGTTTTCGAAATATTTGATAAAATACCGAAATTTTGGAAATACGTTTTTATTTAATTTCAGCCTTGTTTGATGTGATAGTGAAAAAAGAAGAACACTTTTTCATGGCCACTTTTTGCCCTCTATCGAATGGCATAATCAATTTTTATATGTAACGTTTCATCTCTTCAGGACCATCATCAACTTCATTTTTTTTAAATACGACCCTAGAAATTTTATTACATTTTTTGCAAGCCTTCATGACTCCCAATAATGTACCGCTTCAGCCGGAACTAGATTCAGACGTTTTGTTCCGAAAAATTCATCTTCAGTGTATTCGTTCCAAATTTATCTAAATTTTTTATTTAGATTTCTTTGTTTATCGAATTATCGTATACTGTAAGTGGCGTTAGACCCTGTTAAATCCATCTAGTTATTTAAACCCGTGTCCCTAGTTATTTCTAGGCTTCTCGAGTGCTCAAAATTCAAACAAATTCCGATCTATTTTTGTTCAATATATTCATACAAATACATCTGACATGCCCCTTGACAGTTGCAGTTACAGATATAATAAATTTCGATAATATTACTCTGATCTTCATTTTTAACCTTTGTCAAAACGAAAATGTTTTTGAACATTTGCTGAAATTTTTTAAATAGTAATATTCAGTTGGTGTTTTGGTTGTTCATATGCATTTTTAAGAATTAATTTGTAATAATAAAATTAAAATTGTAATAATGTTTTAATTTTGACTCAACAACTTATTGAATTATGTATGACCAAGTGATGGTAATAGTTAATAATAATAAATGTGTTATTGTAACGCGTGGTGGTAATNTTAAAATTGTAATAATGTTTTAATTTTGACTCAACAACTTATTGAATTATGTATGACCAAGTGATGGTAATAGTTAATAATAATAAATGTGTTATTGTAACGCGTGTTGGTAATAGGTTAAATAACTAGATGGATTTCATAGGGTGTAACGACACTTACAGTGTACGATAATTCAATAAAAAAAAAGAAATCTAAATAAAAAATTTAGATAAATTTGGAAGAATACACTGAAGATGAATTTTTCGAGACAAAACATCTGAATCTGGTTCGGGCTGAGGCAGTAAAGTATTGCGGGTCATGAAGGCTTGCAAAAATGTAATAAAATTTATAGGGTCGTATTTAAAAAAATGAAGTTGATGATGGTCTTGGAGAGACGAAACGTTACATACAAAAATTGATTATACCATTCGAGAGAGAGCAAAAGGTGGTCATGAGAAAGTGTTCTTCTTTTTTCAATACCACATCAAACAAGGCTGAAATGAAACAAAAACGGATTTCCAAAATTTCGTTTTTTTTTCAAATATTTCGAAAACTAATCATGTTAGCCTTGATTTTTTAGAGGCATAATGTTGGTCCCCTGATTAAGCATAAAAACTGACATTGTTAGATTACTTGTAGTTGATGGGGAGTTTATAAATCCATATTGATGGGTTAATATAACTTTCATATGTGGTTATATAAGATACTCTCCAAAAGTTTTAAAAAGTTATTTAAAATGAATATTGGTCTAAAATCTATATCAGTTTTATTTTCACATTGATGTATTTGACATACTTTAGCAATTTTTCAAATTCCAGAAAGACTGAACTACTTAAAATTAGATCTTCAAAATTTGCACAAGTACATATACACATGTTTCACAAGAAAAGAGGGTATTTTGTCTGAACCAGAAGTAAATTTGTTTTTCAGTTTCCTTCCAGCTTCCAAAATTTCTTCTTCATTTATTGGTTAACACATTTTGATAATATTTGAACTAAAACTGATAGTTTCACTCATAAAATTTTAGTTGTACTCATACTAATAGAGGAAAATTTGAGTCAGTTAGGTGTGGATAGAAATTGATATATTACTGGGTGAAATTGAGTGAAAATAACTCCAATTTTTCTTACAGTATATCTATCAGGCAAAAAAATTGCGCAATTCACTAAAATGCTTCCACAATCGATTGAGGGTTAAGTACTAAATAATGGAGAAACAATATCTGCAACTGGTGTGATGTGCAGTATGCATAAAAATACATAATACTTATATTACATCCGACGTGGTATGAAAGTCACAAATGGAACTGATTTGCATATTTCACTTTTATTAATTAAATATATTTAAATTGCAAAACAAATTGATTAAAATTATGTAAAATAAAAGGATATAGTAAGTAGTGTCCCATAATTCAACAACTGAAATAAAAAAACTTAGGAACTAAGCATTATGTGGTACTTACAACTAGTTTTCCAATTATTATTAATTATAAAGAGTGGTCCAGGTTTTAACTGGAAATCTTCTTTAGGTAACAGCACATATGATTTTAAGCATACAGTTTTATGAGCGTGTGGCGTAAATGGCTTTGTTTACAAGATACAGTTTGAAATTAAAAAAAAATATACGATCGCATCTTGTCAAATATCTCTGAGGGTGTTTGACGTAGACTGTTGAAATTTGGACCTACCTATAAGTTATCTATTTAAAGATAAAAATTGGCTGAATTAACGAATAGATTCATCAAACAATTGTGGAGATATTTCAATGCCATTCAGACATCACTATTATAGAAACTTAATCACTGCTTTTAATTTTTAGCGGTATTTTTAAGAAAAAATCTATTCCATTCTATACGAACAACGATATGAGGTACGATCTTTTTTATGTTTCGAAATAAATTCAGCAGAAAACTTAGATATACATAAAAAGTGCTAGGAAATATTACAAGAAGAGCAGTTAAATATCAACTTAAAAAGATATGACTCAAAAAGAATTTTTAAGAATATCACTGTTTCCCAATTTGTAGAACCACCCTTATTTTAAACATACATTTTGCTGTTTGATAATTTAGTTTATATAATGACAAAAGTAGGTATAATAGTATATCGCAAAAATATACTAATGCAATTCACCGTTAGACCGGGAACTTGAACAAATGAATAACTATTACTAAAAAGTTTACAATATGATCCATTTTCACTATCTTTTTATATTGATGATCAGGTGTTTTTTCATATGTCTACATTTGCCTCATCCAAATATTTTTACAGCGAAATAGTAAATTTCAACAAAAAGAGAAATACGGATCAGTTCGAAAAAACTCTAAAACTTTTCGTTTTGCAAAAGAATCTATGGTTTTTTTCCTATTACGTTGTTAAATACCAGCACGTAATAGTAAAAATTAATTTAATAAGAGTATAATTATTAGTCAGAAAACTATATAAACAGAATAACTTAAATTTTCCTTATTAATTGGAACTTAAAAATTGTCAAATGATATTTTTACTCTTTAAAAACTATTGATACTAAAACATTTACAATACGGGTCACTTCATTAAAAATGGGACAGAGCTTAAGTGAGATTGATGAGGTCAAAATAAAACTAAAATGAATAAATTATTTGTAATTAACTGATACTCTGCAGACCGAAAAGGAGAAAAATTTGATTAAAGCATGTTTGACTCAACATAGTCCAGGCAAATTAGACCAAAATCACCCAGAATACGGAGATTTTCGGGTTTTCGGGGTCGGAGATTCCGAATCTGACCCTGAAAAATATGCCTGACGGCCCTGGGCCCCCCCAGGGGAGCAGAGGGTGCCTTCTAAACCCCCACTCAGGGGTTTTTGGGGTCGGGGATTTCGATTCTGACACTGAAAAGTATGCCCGACGCCCTAGGTCCCCCAAGGGAGCAAGGGGGGGCTTCTGGAAAATATCGAATAGCTGAGTAATTGCCTTCTAAATTTCAACTCGGGGGTTTTTGGGGTCGGAGATTTCAATTCTGACACTGAAAAGTATGCTCGACGCTCCTGGGCCCCCCCAAGGGGGCAAGCGGGGGGTCTTCTGTAAAACATCGAATAGCTGAGTAATTGCCTTCTAAATTTTTTTTTGGGGTCAGGGATTCCGAATCTGACACTGGAAAATATCCATTAATCTTAGCTTGTCTATCACTGAAAAAAATTGTCGTAGAATTGGATAAATCCTGGACAATCCATTCCCAAGAGACACATTTCGTTAAATTAAATAAATATTCCTTAAAACCGAAGAATATTTCATGGATCTTGGATTTTCAAAAGAATCTCTTGGGCTCGTGCGACTGCGGATAATGCATAACAATTAGGCGACAAAATCCGATTATCGACAATGCAGATCTTGTGGGTATAGAAAGCATGGAATTACATGCACAATTGTGTGCATGTGCAAATTGTTTTGGAACCAACTGTTCCAATCCTGAAATAGTCGAAAATGTAATAGATGATAGTGATGGAGACAGTGATGACAGTACTGATGATGAAAATTGTGATTGATAGTGAAAGTGTTAGATAAATATATGATAGTAGTTGTCTCATTAATTGCCTTGCAACTAAAAAGAAAATTGGTTCTCAGAATAAAGGGAATTCTTTTCGACTCATTAAATTCCTGTTAGTTTTTCTTACCCTTCTTATCTAATTTCTATAAATTTACGTGTGTTACAATGTAAAGATGAGCCTACAAGATAATGGTTGGTAAGCAGCTGGAGCAGTTTTATTGCAAAAATCTGTGCCTTTCGATGGTTTTCAGAAAGCCCACCCCACAACTTTTAGTCAATTTTTACAATTTTTAGAAAATTCGGAAAAATTGATGCACACCAAGATGCACTTTGTGCACCCGCAATGCAGTTTCGATCCAGCCCCAAAATGTAATAGATAGACTTCCTGATATTTTTCCGAAGACAATGCCGAAAACCGCAACTCGATCGATTCATCAGAAAGAATTTTCTGATTTATTGTCTAACTTGCCTAGTCTAATAGGTCTATTTTAAATTCATATATCTCCATACTATTAAAAAATAAGGGATTGCAAATTTAAGCAAATATATAATGATATTTTTTTTTATTTTCTTTATTTTCATAGTAAATATAATAATATATTTAATTTTTTTAAATAAAAATGGATATGATTGTTCCTCAAAACGTGTTATAAAAGATATCTAAATTCATGGAGTTCACATTAACATGTAAGTATAGGAACAATATTATTAAAATTTGAAATTTTGCTAACATTCACAATAACATTTGCAATCCAGTAGCCAATGTTCGCTAATAAAACTCAGTTAGTCCACGTCTGTATTGACTAGAACAATGCTAACTCTGTTCGCTAACAGTGTTCATTCATTGTGTTAGCACAGTTTGAATTTTCATCGGTAGGTGGTAACCTGCTATATAGGTATTGGAATAAAATAATAAATTAAAGCAATACAGAAATAAAACGTTTGGTATGACACAAGAGTGAATTTGAAAATAAATGCTGAAGAAGCTGAAAAAGATTGAAATCTCTAGTGGACACAATGTAATAGGTAACACAAAGTATAACTAAAAAAATAATAATACTATTATAATATACAACTTTATTTAAAGAAAATGTACAAAAATTAAATAAATACTGCGCGGAAAACAATTAGGTACAAATGGTGTAACTTTTAACACCAAAATTTTATCACTAATTTTTCTTTTATCCAACACTACTTGCCCCATCCACCTCCATGACCTCCGCCAAATCCTCCTCCAAACCCACCACCGTATCCACCGCCATACCCGCCGCCATATCCCCCTCCATATCCCCCTCCATATCCTCCTCCATATCCTCCTCCATATCCTCCCCCATATCCTCCTCCATATCCTTTACCATATCCGCCACCGTACCCGCTATGTCCTCCGTAATATTTGTTGCCCCAACCGCCACCTCCGTAGCCAATCGTTTTAACTACTATTACTTTACCAACGCCACCACCCCATCCTCCCCATGGGGCAGAAAAGGCAGTTGCCACCAGCAGTATGGTCGCTAAAAGCAACTGAAACATAAATAAATATACATTTTTTGTTGCGAGCCTTAGGTGTTGCATTATTTAAAATTATTTGGTAACTATGAAAAAGGTGTCACAATGAAAATTGAATTATTTTTTTAAACTCATATTCCTATGCATATGTGCTTATTGTAAGAAATATAGGTGATTTACCTAAGAAAGACATACAAAGTTGATTCAATTATACAAAAAGTTGCACTACGATAAATTTAAAGAAAAATTCAAAACCAATTTTTTATTTTTTATGTAATTTAAATATGTATTACAAGCTTCAAAATTGTCAAGCATTAACATCCTGCACCAACTGGTGCTAATATATTTTTTATAGTTAATGACCAAGGACATTTAAAGAACTTATTTATTTACATTTCTGGATGATGCCTCGTCTATTCACAGTCCAATTGTACCATTGTTGTCAGCTGTATAATTATACTGGAAATATACTTAATATTTTTATCGCAATTTTCATCACAATTGTGAAAATTATTATTATAGGATAGTATTATTAAGTTATGCATACAATATTGTTAAATTCTGTACATAATAAGACTTGGTAACTACGCATTAATTTGTAGCGTGCTCCTCGTTCGTTCTTCCGTGGTTGGCAGAATACGGCATCTATTGTTAGAAAATAGTTGTGATTTTAGTAAGTGAAACGTGATTAGTATATATATATATATTCCTGGCTAAACAATTACAGCCTTATGCCGAAGAAGCGAAATCTTACGTCAAGAACGCCAGTCACTTCATCGAACGCATAAGAAACGTAAGAGTGGACCCAGGACACCTGCTGGTGAGCTTCGATGTTGTATCCCTCTTCACAAATATACCAATAGAAGAAGCACTCGACTTAATAGTCCAGAAATACCATCTGAGAAAAGATTTAGTGGACCTGATAAAACACTGCCTCAATAACACATATTTCATCTATAAAGACCAGAGATACAAACAAATAGAAGGAGCACCCATGGGATCACCACTGTCACCAGTAATCGCCAACCTATTTATGGAGGATCTGGAAGAACGAGCGATCAAATCCGCCGAATATAAACCAGAAATGTGGCTACGATACGTCGACGACACCTTCGTTATTTGGACGCACGGCAAAGAAAAACTGAATGGCTTCCTAACACATCTCAACAGTATACATCACAAAATTCAGTTCACCATGGAAATCGAAGAAAATAACAAGTTGCCATTTCTAGACGTATCCATAATCAAAAATAGAACCGGAGGTTTAGGCTACACGGTGTATAGAAAACCCACACACACGGATCGCTACCTGCATGCCGAGTCCCATCACCATCCATCACAACTAAATTCTGTTTTGAAAACTCTAATAACACGATCAGAAAGGCTGACTGACAACGAACACAAAACAGAAGAAATCGAAAAAGTTAAAAAAGCTCTTCAACAAAATGGTTTCTCGGATAACAACATCAAGAGAGCATTAAGACCACGCCACAATAGAGAACGGACCGAAGAAGATAAACCAGTTGCCAAAGCACTCCTTCCATATATAAAAGGAACCACTGACAAAATCAGCAAAGTACTGAAGAAACATAAAATTGAAACTGTCTTCAATACCGACAGGAAAATTGGCAACATTCTTCCATCAGCGAAGACGAAGATTCCACTCGAAGGTCAAGGCGTTTACCAGATTCCCTGTGGCGACTGCGAAAAATCATACATAGGACAAACAAATAGAAGAGTTCAAACACGAAGAGAGGAACACAGAAATGCTGTAGAAAAGAATCAGGCAA